AATGAAAAATAATCTCTACAGAAGATTGGGTGCATGTTGTGCCCTTTACTGAAAGGGACTGTCAAAATCGCCCTCTTTCTGGGCTGCTCAAGTCCTGTTTTGAAGCTGATCGGGCAGATAGAGCCTGGAGAGGCTCCGACGCCCTGAGCACAGCGTGTGTGTGTGGTGCTGGTGCCCTCTGCCACCCAGCCTGCTGCGCCTTCAGGAAGGTGCCAGACCCACAGGGCACCGAGCTGCATGAGAAACTGCTCTGCTGCAGCAGATGCCCCCTCTCTGCCGATTGGCGCTGACCTCCTGCTCTCTTCTTTTCACTTGGTGTCCCGGGAGGAGTTATGACTCAGAGCTGGGGGGTTTCTCCACCTCGATAGCGGCTTTTCTTTCTCCTGGACTCTTGACAGTAGCCCTTGCTTTTTCAGACCTGCCGCAGAATTATTTGTACAGGCCTGCTACAGCTGCTCATCAGCTGAGGGGGGCAGTGTTCTGAAAGCAGGGCTTTTCAAAGAGCTTCTAGAAAGATCCTTGGATTGTGTCATTTCCAAGGAGAAGGGAAAGGTAATGTGCGTGTTGCATACTGTAAATTGAATTTTCCTAATTTCCCACAGACATTGCCCAGCTTTAAGAAAATTTAAATTATTTTAAAAACCATAACATAGAATTTAAAAGTAAATATTTGGGACCATGCCTTAATTTTTTGCCATTCTACATCTATAGATAAATTCAATATTTAAAATACTGAGTATTTTTACTAGTTGTGTTAACTCTTATCGTATCCTCGTATGTCCTCAGGTAGAATACTTCTTTATAGTCTCAGTGCCATAATGTAAATCTGCAGATTTATGTCATAATACAAAAAACAAGCTGATTTGATTACTGATCAGGGAAAAACAAACCTTCAAGCCTAATGCAAACTGGAAATCTGGATGACAAATTCAATTATTTGTGAGATTGGGTCAATTTCAGTGCAAGAGCTTGTTAAAATTCCTATCTTGGTGCTAGAGCCACGAAACAGCTCAGGTCTGTGTCCTATCTCCAGTCTGTTCAGCTCACTGGATTACTGCTGGATTTCATTCACTTAACCAAATCTCCTTACATCTTTTCCACTATTCATTTTGAGCAACCAAGACTGCGTGCACTTTGAATGCATTGTTCTTTGCCTGTCTGTCATTCTATCCTGCACACCTGTCTCTCTCTCTCACAGGGTTTGTTCACTTCCTTCCAGCAAATCACAGAGGCAGGTGGGCTCCCAGGAGAAAACATTTAAAGAATTAAAAAGCAGCTTCTTCATGTGATGGGACCTTCCTGCTGTGAATTAGAACATCTGTTAATTTAGAAATTCTGCCTTCTGATCCTGTTAAAAAGGCAAAGCCGTGAGAGAACAAAAGTTTTTTCTTGAAATCGCCAGACTTGTCATTTTGAGCTGCCTCATTTTGAAATAGCCTGTTCTGAATTGACATTACATTAAAGACCTTTTACTAGTACTGAAGAGGTAAAGATCTCCATCTTCAAGCCAGATCCTAGACTTTAATGCTAGGTTTTACTGGTCCAGTGACCACGGATTATCTTGCCATGTCAAATAGGATAGAACAGCATCGAAAATGAGACATGTCTTGGTTTTGTACAACTGCCTTCTGACCACAGAGTTTAATTAAACTCAAAATAATATTAATTAACATTTAATCCCCTTTAGATGAAACCCTTATTGTATTCAGATGGATAATGTCAGTGTTATATTTCCCTGAAATTTGGAGTAAGAACTTGTTACAGAGAGGAAAACATACATTAAACATTTTATTTTTAAAGGTTAATTTCTATTTTTTTCCCCTGGCTGATGTTCCTCATTTGCTTTTCCTGTTCCCTTTGAGATTATTTAAATGAATATGGACAGCATTATTTGTTGCAAGGGCTGCCTTGAAGATGGCTAATTAAGATAAGTCTGGTAAACTGGAAAGGCTCACTGTTGTCAGAATTTAAACTTCGTTATCATGTTTAATTAAGCTGCTCTTTAATTCCTAACTGGGAGTCCGCCTCCCGCAGAAGTTCTGCATCAGCTACTGTACCTACAGCAAAAAACTTCAGTAGTTATTATAAATAGCAGAAGGAGTCTCTTTCTCGGTACTTGTTACAGCATGGTGAGTTAAGAGCATGCTGTGGGTGGAGCTTCCACGCTCCCTCCACGCTATTACCCCACCCATTAGTGGGAGGGGTTTCGATAGGAAGTATCCTCCCACAAGCGGTTTGTCTGAAATCAACAGACAGCTTCCTGACATACTTTTACAATGTGTAACTTCATGAGTTTTTTTTGTGTTTGCATTGTTCTTTGTAATCAGTGTTGAGTGCATTTAAGTGAGACACAACTAGGAAATAACCCTTTCTGTAATGTATAATCTCCCTTGGTTTTAACAGGTTTTATTGAATTTAGACATATCGTTGGAGCATGACTACCAATTGTATACGTCTTAATCTCCATGTTTCCCATTGTAAACTGGGGGCATGTGCCATAAATTTCAGTGCAAAATCAAAATACTGTACAGAAAGGGTTACAGCATCTGTAACAATTAAGTGTGTTATGTATGTAGGTAGATGGCTGGATTTCTTTTCCCAAAGTGGGAACTGGTGATGTAGGGGGTGTGTATTGCCGTTTTTACCAAAGGAATATCTTTTTATCCGAAACTGGTGATTGCATTTCTGTGCTTACAGAATACCAAAATATTAAAATACGTACCAAAAAGTGAGATGACCGATAAATTCCGAATACCCTTATTAAAAAATTTCTGGAAAAAAGGTTTTAGTATGGTCTAAAGGTTACTATACTGGCACTTTTATTTTAAGCTAATTAGTAAGTCAGTACTCACAAACTAAGTCGTTTTTCTGTCCCGGATTGGCTGCAGTTCATATTGGTCTCAGTAGAATTAGAAAAAAGACTCTAGAACAGATTAACGGCCTAATGACATTTGTTTGGAATAGTTGTTTACTGAAATCTATGTAACTATGTACCGCGACAATGAAATTTTAAATGACCTCAGTATTTTGCTCATTTGTCAGGAGCAATGAATGTAGTCTAATACTTTATGAAGTATTAAACTAGGAAACATTTTCCTCCTCTGCCAGTGGTTCCCAACTCTAGTCCTGGAGAGACATGATGTCCTATACGTTTTGCTCCAGCTGAGTTCTTAATCGCGAGCTGTTTTATTTCAATTTCCTATCTGGGGCATATTTGTACATTTGCTTTCAGCTCTTAAAAGGTCAAGTGGGGTTTGTACCGGGTATGACACCCATCTGAGTTTCAGACCAGCTACCTGGAATGTAACCAACTGGGCCTCTGCTGAAGGACAGGGTGGGAGTGACAGAATTGAATTTGAACGCATGTGTGTGTTCGTCGCCTAGTAAGATCAACTAGTGAGAGTCCGAAATAACAGCTAGCACATGAAGGGGAGGCTGCGTCCAGTTCTGTGTGCTGGAGCAGTTGGAATCAGTACCAACATGTGGGTGGGCATCTCTGCCACCAACTGAAGAAAGGGTTTGATTAAAAATCTAAGCAAGCAAGCAGATCCAGCCAGTCTGCTGCTAGCACTGAGGAATAAGAGCTCGGCTGGAATGAGCTCCAGCAGCGTTGGGAACTGCTGCCCTGTGCAGTCCGATCGCTTCCACCTCAGGTGTGCCTGCACACCCCCTGAAGCCAGCGGGGCGCGGGATGTGGCCGAGCTCATTTCCAGCTGGTTTTGCCCCATTTAGCTGCCTTTTGTGGTGAACGTGAGACCTTTCCTTTAAAGGCAATATCTTTCAGATAGGAGCAGTGGATACTGATCAGTAAGGTGGGATTTTCTGTTTAGTTCTAGCCACCCATTTCTCTTCTTTCCATTTTGTTGGCCTGTGCCTCCTTATGTGATTCTATTATTTTGTATGTGTAATTCAGGGTGCTTCTTTAATATTTTTTCTGCTTCTTTTGTTCTACTGTTTGAATACTTTACAGATACCTGTAGTATAGGATTAGGAGTCTGGATCCGTGCTCTGTTATTATCAGTAACCCTTCTATTTAAGTTTTATCTAAAATGTATCCAGAGCTGTGTTATTGTGCCAGGAGGATGTGGAGGTGATCCACCAAGGCTTTTGATTGTATTAACTGTCACCTCTTACTGTAGATCGGCTAAAAACGTCTGTTAAATCTAAAATTTAAATTAAGCATAAGAGCTGCTCCTGAACAGCTCTGCCCATTTCCACTTTGCTGCTTGTGTTATCTCGGATGTGTCATTGGTGTTGTGCACCTCGGAAACACCTTCTGTTTGCCCTTGTGAATGACTTCCCATCTGTCTTCCTCACCGTGAGATGTTATCTGCATGTGTGCCTGTGCGTATTCTGCCCAAACTGGGCATCCGCTGCATCCATTAGATTGGCGAAGTAAATTGTTTCACAAGGCTCCTGAAAATGTGCCCTAGAGAGAATTTGGGAATGCATTTATTAATTTTCTAGAAGAAAAGAAAAAGATGTTGCCTTTATTGCTTCTTGCATGTTTGCCTGATTGTTACGTGCTTTTCTGTGTTGTGTTGTGAAATCTGTTTACCTATGAACTTATTATATAACTGGTGTTTCATCATGGTCACTTGCATTTTCATTTAAAGGGTTGTGATTTTTTATTTATTAATTGTACCCCTCACGTACCATTCTCCCCCCCCCTCCCCCCCCCAAAATACCTTTTTATGTTTCATTGTTCTCTTTATGATGTATTTATTGATTGCCTTTTTGTTGTTGATGTTGCCGTTCTGCCAGCTTCCTTCCAGCGGTGGTTTATAAAAAAGAACTAATTATGACAACAGTGACAGCCTCATCTCTCATCTCTCGGAGCTCTGACCATTTTGTTCTTGCAGATAAATCCATAACACCTCCGCCTTCCTACTCCACCAAAAAAAAGCTTGACAAGATCAAAACAAAAGGGGAAAGATGTGAACTAACTGTTCTTTTTCTCTTTTTTTTTTATTTGCCCTTCTCTTTTCCTGCTCCCCCAGATTAAAGTGGTGAATGCATTCCGTAGCTCCTTGTACGAAGGCATAGAAAAGCCAGAATCCAGAAGCTCCATCCATAACTTCATGTCCCATCCCGAGTTTGTCCCCCTGGCAGAAGAAGAGTCCAGGATCCCCGGAAGCAAGGAAAGCAGCGTTGAGGTTGAGGGTCTCTCCCGCTCCCCAAAAGGAAAGGGGGGTGCAGGGACGCACACCCCCAACCGCAACAATAATGCCTTGGACATTGTGGCTGCCCCCTCCTGTGGCCCCTCCACCCCCCCTGGCAGCCCCCTGCATAGCCTGGAGACCTCGGTCTGACGACCTTTGAACTCTGAACGCCGCAATGCAATCGGAAGAGTGAGCGCGGTCTGCGAAGGATGCACGGTTTCAGAAAAGCTGCAAGCCCACTGACGGGCACCATCGTGGTTGTGTGAATGAACGTGTGTGTGTGCAAGTGCGCACGGGGTGGGGGGGGGGGGGTGTGCGTCCTCTTGTGGGCGT